ATCGGTTGAAATCATTCTCAAGAATGAAAGAGATGGATGGTGGATTGATTGTTAAAATTAGACTTTTAAATATGGAAATAAGTAAAAAAAATGCTTAGAACAACATGCAACAAGTTATGTATGCCAACTTATGAGACAATAGCTAAACTAAACAAAGCATGAACCAATTTAAAAGGCTTGGACAGCCCTAAAACAGTCCTTAACGCATGAAAAACAGAGGCTAAAAATGCATTAAAAAAGCCTAAAAAACCTAACAACAAAGAGATGAAACAAGGCTAGGAAGCAAGAACAAGGAGGGGTGACTAACATCTCCACTTTTGAAACCTTAAAACATGATTTTTAGCCTTTCTAAACTCTGAAAATCAGTGTAGATATCAAATAAAAAGAGTGGAAAAGGAAGGGTTTAAGCTATAAGTAAAGGTGTAAAAAGAGCAAGCTCTCTCTACCCTTTTGGTAGCCCTTCAAACCCAATCTTAAACACTTCAAATAGACTCAAAACAACACAAAACAATGAGAATTATGTAGCAAATGAAAGAAATAAAGACAAGAGAGAAGATAACAAGCTTATACCTCTCAAGGGGTAAGCTTTTTGTTTGTGATCCAAACTTTGTCTCAACTCACTCTCAAGCTTGAATTATGCTTCTCCAATCTCAACCAAGGCTCTAAGGTGGTGAGAAAAGGTTGTATATGGTGTATGGAGATAACACAAAGAAGCTAGGTTAGTTCAAAAGTTGCTTGCAATGGAAGAAGGAGGAGGAAAGAGCTCTCAAGGTGTATATAGGCTTTCTAAATTTTGTTCAACCCTCAAAACAATAACACAGCTTCATTTTTATAGAATTTGAGAGGTGATAAATATCTTCAAAAATAGACAACTGGCGGGCTCTCACCCAAAACAGTGTTTTTCGCCACCTAAGGCCGGCCATCACTGATGCACGGCCGGGCTTTGATGTCCTCTCTGTTTTTTGGTTCAAACTCAGCTCAGGGTGGAAAACGGTCCAAAAATGAAACTCACAAGTTTAAACAAGGTAAATGTTGAAGATTTGATATTATTTCGAGAACCTGATTGAATTCGAATTGCTGTGAACTCAAAGCACACAATTCAACTTTCATCATCGTGTGTATCGTACCAAGCGCCTAAGTCTTGTGGGCGGTCAAAAATGGGGTGTCTACACCATATATTCATCAGAACTAAATGCGTAAGGACGATGACAGCCGATCTTGCGTCTCTTTGTTTATTAACTTGTCCTTGTCTTTTTTATTTTTTTTTTATTTTAAAAATTTTGTTTGTACTACTAACCTACTATTGTCAAGGTTGTTTTTATTTTTACCAGAACAAAATGTTGAGTCTTGAAGGGCACCCCTATGGCAATGAGAAGTTATTGGTTAGTTTTGGAGTATTGCTCTATACTATTTATTGATGGACAAGTGTTTCACTGTCTCTTAAAATGAGATAGAAAGGTGATGGGCCTCACTGATTCAAAAATAATAATTTTTTAATAAAATATTGAGTCTTGTAGATTCTAATAAATATTGTACACTCACTCAGTCTTGGGCTTAGAAGGCACCCCAAGGGAAGGGGTCAGGGATACCCTGTTCGAATTTTTGGATATTTTGATAAGTTTTTACTATTTTTGTGTTATTTTAATTTCTATGTTTATAAATAGACGAATATTTTTTGTTTTTTGAATTATTATAAAGAGTTATAATTACTTATTAATTATTGATTAGAAAGAGTCATTTCCCCAGCACAAAAATACCACAAATTTGATTTTGACGAAACTTTAGGTAGCTGCTGGCAGCAGCAACCATTATAAGTTATTAGTAAAATGAAAAGAAAATAAAAGAAAAAGATTGCTAGCCTTTCTTTTGGTTGGTAGTGTATGGAAGTGTGTGGAAAACTGAAATGAAGTCCGCAAGTTTACTCAAGCCAAAAGGTAAGAGATTTCTTACTTTTAAGTGAGTTCTTGATGAAAGTTTTTACGGTGTTTTGTATTTTTTTTTTTCAAAGTGTTGAGGACTTACAAATGCTTGCTCACTTGGGTGACACTTACCATGGGTTTGAACTTTATCAGTATGGTTGTGTATATGAGTATTTTATAAAATCAAAATAAAGGGAAAAAAGTGACGTAAAATTAACAAGTTTAAAAGTCATAAATAAATAAATAAAAATTTCTAAACTATTTTTTCCGAGATTATTATTATTAGGTATGCAAGGTTAGTTAATGGGCCATGGCCTTGTCCTTGTTTTGCGCAACTCAAGTGAACCACGGCCCAATGGGCTTAATAAAGAAACCATTTCATTTTGCTGAGAAAAGAAGGAGAAAAAAAATTAATAAAAAAACAAGAATAAGAAGAACAACTCATTATTAGAATAAAAATGAGATCTTTATTTACCATTTTTATGAATAGACGTTTTTCTTTTCATAAAAGAAATTATAAGAATTCTAAAACAGTGATCAAATCTCCAACCTTTAATATATATATTTTTTAAATAAAACAAAAGCCAAAAAAATAGGTTTGCATTTTTAATTGAATCAAGAAGGTCTGATCATCCAGAATTGGTTGCATGTTATATACCACACATTTGAAGAATGAACAATAACACAAAAGTGATAAGCAATATTATTCAAATCAACAATTATAAAATTAGACCACCAATTATATTTATTCTGAATAATTTCTCTTATGTATATAATTTGCATCACAGGATTTTAACAAGTGCCTTGATTGTCTAAAATTACAAAAGCAAAATAAATAAATAAAAAGGGGACTGATTTTCATGCATGGAAAATCATGATCAACGAAACGACACACACAAAGCTTATCCCAAAAAATACTACTTACGAGTAATTTTTATAGTCTTTACCATTTTTGGTGTGGATAGTGTGTATTTTGAAAATGAAAACAGAAGAATCAAAAACATAACGTAGTGTTTTTTGTTTCCAAAATATAAGGCACACGTATTTTTCTTAATCCAGTAAGTCTGAGAACACATGTGTCTAATGAGACCTTAAATTATCTTATATATCTTTTTTTCTTTTTCTTTTTTTCTCACTTGATTGAGGCCTCCGTAGCCAAATCTATTCTCTCGTCTTCTTCTTCTTCTTTGAATACCAAAGTGGGAGGTTTTTGATAAAGTACAAAGAGGAAGACAAATGAAGTCTTTGTTACACACTGTGTTCGGATGGATCAAAGACTCACAACGGAGAAAAAAGTGGTAACAACACATACCTGCTTTCTTTCTTTCTTATTCTTCTCCATTCTTTGGGTATTAATTTGTACAAAGAAGAGACAGGAAAGAGAAAAGTGACACATTTACCTTTTATTTTTGTCATTTTTTCTTGTCTATTTAACTAACTGTATAGTAGTTTATTTGGATGGTGTGGTTTGATAAGAAATGAAGAGTAAGAGAACTTTCTCATATTTGATTTATAAATTCGATGAGAAATAGTGAGGAAAACAAGTATCTTATTTTATTTATTTTTTTATTTCTCACAAAAAATATGAGATTGGTCAAAAACTAAGTTAAAAAATAAAAATTATAATATCATGATTACCAGTTATAAAATACAAAAGAAAGAAGAAGAAAAATTTCACTTATATTCGTCACTCACATATTTTACTATTATACCCATTGATGTAGGACAAGATTTTAAGACTTTTTGTATTTTTAGTTTTAATATTTTTGATAAATTATTTTATTAGGAATCTTGTAATTTAGTATAAATAATTTAAAATTATTAGCTTTCTTAATTTTATTATTTTAGAATTAGATTTTGACTAGGATTTTAAATAGTTAAGAATTCTAGTTTCCTGTTCTCTTAGGTCTCCTAATTTATGTTGATTTAAGTTTCCTAGTTTATTTTAGAATTATTTTTCCTACAAGTATTAGATTTAATTTATTATAAATAGCTATGTAAGCCTCATGACAAAGACAACTTTTATACAACTTTTATTCATTCATTCAATAATATTTCTCTTCCTTGTGGATTCAAGGTTCTATTTTTCTCGTGGATTCGAGAGCCTCTTTCGTCTACTAGAACGATATCTAGTCCCCATATATTCCACTGCGTCACCCATCCAAAAATTATAGTAGAGAAAAAACACAAGATTTTTTAACATTTTTTTTCTCATTTATTACTATACATATATAAGTTAAACTCTGCTATGGTAAGGCTGATGCGTGGAATTTAATCTTAATTGGGCTTGTAGTTTGTTATTCAAAGCATCGGCCAATGCCCGGTGGGATTGCGCTAGGGCTTTTAGAAGAGAATGATAAGGGCCCAGTCTTAAGATGTACAATAGGCCTATAATAGATCCAAAGCCCATGCAAATTATAATATAATGCCGTCACAAATAATGACTTTATTGACACAAAAAAAATAAATAAATAAATAAGTAAGGAGACTTACTGGTAAGTCATAATAGGAAGATTTATTATCTACTAAATTTTATAATAACTAATAATATTTTTTATCAAATATTATTAAAAAAAGTTACTAACGGTTAATTTTCAGTAATATTTTAAAAATTGTTACAAAAAATATCATTAATTATAAATTTTAACGACAGTTTAAAAAAATCGTTACAAAAAATATTATTAATTTTTAACTTTCAGCAACGGTTTGAAAAATTCATCATAGGAAAACGTCACTAATTATAAATTTTAACGACAATTTATAAAAAAAGCGTGACAAAAAAAGTTATTAATTATCAATTTTTAGTGACGTGTATAACAAAATCATCACCAAAAATTATTTTTAACGACAATCTTATTAAGAACTATATTTAATAAGACTTAATAAGAATTAAATTTAACTATTAGAGCCTATTATTAATTTATCCAAAAATTAAACCACCTTCATAAAAAATTAATTATTTGCAATGACATTCTAGCTCTCACTCCCTATACATACAATGTAAATAACTATTTGTGTATATGGCTATATATATTCAGCAAAAGGTTGATGAAGCGAGCCCGGCGACAATTGTTAATCCAGATGAGGAGGAGAGAGTCGATAATACGACAATCGCGGGCTGATATTGCTCAACTCCCTATGTATGGCCACCATGACAATGCTTTTGCTAGGGTGAGTTCTCACATGAAATGAAATGACCAACACCAAAACCTACGCACACAACAATAATAATAATAATAATATTTTCATGCTCTCTTGTTAATCTCTTTAACATGGTCCTATGTTACAAAAAGTTCACTAGACTATGGAACTATTTGTTATAGTTTTTGGGTGTGATTATAGCTTGGTTTGGAAGACTGTGTCAGACTGTTTGGTGCAACTTCTTTCATTACTTAGGCCTCGTTTGGCAAGTGGCTATTTTAATCAAAAAATCAAAAAGTAACTAAAAAAAATCAAAAAGCCAACAATCCATACAAAAAAGTCAAAGATTTTATTTTTTTCTCTACTTTTTACACATCTTTTCGTAAAAAGTTAAAAAGTCATCCCAAACATGCTAATTTTTTTTACATCACATTTTAATCAAAAAGTCAAAAAGTTACTAAAAAAACCTATTCCCAAACGAGGGCTTATTAAACAAAAATAGCTTAAGTAAGTTTTAAAAAAAAAACCTTATTATTTGAAAGCTGAGGTATGGATGCTTTTAACTTCTGCTTTCTGATTATCAACTTTCAACTTTACAAAAATTTCACCAAACAGGATCTATGAATTCTAAAATCATAAAATAATCTTAATATATACAAGAATCTAAATAATAGGACAAAACAGATCCAAAAAACAAATACTAGGTCCAACATAGTGGGTCGTGCCGATCGTGTGATAAGCATAACTAGGATTGAATATGTAGTTACATTAATTAGTCCTTTTTGTGACGAATTTTAGGCTGAGCAACTGTACAATGACCAGTGTGTATTATCTGCATATGGTCAAATCGACAACTTCTTTGATTTCCTCCATTCCAACCTATGCAATATTAGCAGACAGAGGTATGTAGTCTCTGATTCATCGCATCCATAAAAAAAATCACATCTAATATGTTTTAATGACATAGTATATCAAGATTCATGGTAGCAGTAAACTAAGTGATGAAGCGAATGAAGTTGTGTCTAGTTTGGTGTTTGCTGCCTCAAGATGTGGTGAATTGCCAGAGCTTCGTCAGAGGAGAACTCTGTTCAAACAGCGTTTTGATGATGAATTTGAGAGGAACAATGTGGAACTTCAACTGGGGAACTCTGTGAATTCTCAGATGAAACACAACCTAGGTGAAAAGTCAGTGCCAGATGATATGAAACTCCAATTGACATGCAACATAGCTAGAGAGTACACACTCAGCTTGGAGCCTCCAACTCATGAGCAGAACTTCGTGCCACAATGCCAGCAGGTGGGTTTATTTGTAGGGTTAAATTAATTGTTGGCCCCCAAAGTATCCATTTTGTGTCATTTTAGTCTTCAACTTATTCAATTTATGTTTAAATGGTTATTGGGTCGTTTCCATTCAAAACTTATAAGGAAAGTTGGTGTATTTTTGTCTAAATTTGGACAAAATTTGGTTGGAAATGGTTTCAGAAACCATTTATAAATACAAATTAGATAAATTGTAGACCAAATTGGCAAAATTGAAATATCAGTGATCAAAATAAAATTGATCAAGTACTTTGAAAACAGTGTATTTAACCTTATTTTGTAATATGGTGTTTTCGGACTGAGCTCTACTCATACGATGAGTGGAGTTGACTTGACCTATCTTGGTCTGCTAGGTGAGAGACAAGATTGGCCTCATTAGTCTTTTTTGTATGACCTAATTGGTCAGGAGCACCACATGCATATGTTACGGTGGTGCTCCCATGATACTTTGAAACTACTGAATAATTTTTCTTTTGCAAATATCTTAGACTTAAGACAAGTTTTTCTTAATTTGTAGCTCCCAACATACAGTTTTTTTGAGAAAAATTGTGAAACAAGAAAAAAAGATCAATATTTCGATTTGGTAATTCAAGACAGTGATCAAATGCCAACATCAAAAATGAAGGATATGTTATGGAAAATTGGATCAAGATTTTCTTCCACCAATTCTAAGAGCCTGGTGACCTTTCCTTGTGATTCTTATGATAGTTCATCAAATAGGACCACACTAGATAGTTCACCTCCAATTCAAGACACAGCCATTGCCTACCTTGATGACATGGAAAATCAGTTATCAAACAAAGAAGATTTCAGAGGCAAGAATGAAATTAATGGTTTGGATTCATGGGATAGAAATGTAAGGTCTAAAAGTTTCGTGAAGAAGAGTTTAGCACAGAAAAGCAATGCCTTGATCAAGAAAGATGCAGCGTGCGATGGATTGCTTCGTGAGAACAAAGTGAATTATCAAAACATGATAGTCAAGGGAGAGATTTCAATGCACAATTCTTGTAGTTCGTGCCATGATCATCAGGAGGAAATAGAAGAAAATGAAGAGTCCAAGCCTCGGTTGAGCTATTTTCACCCAAAGCTTCCAGACTATGATGAATTAGTAGCCACATTCACAGAGTACAAGAAAGAGTATGTGAAGAACAATTCAAGTAACAGAACATTTTGCAAGTGCAAAGTGAATTATCATAACATGATAGTCAAGGGAGAGATTTCAATGCACAATTCTTGTAGTTCGTGCCATGATCATCAAGAGGAAACAGAAGAAGATGAAGAGTCCAACCCTCAGTTGAGCTATGTTCACCCAAAGCTAGACTATGATGAATTAGTAGCCACATTCACAGATTACAAGAAAGAGTATGTGAAGAACAATTCAAGTAACAGAACATTTTGAAAGTGGATGTGGTGGTGAAACATATTGAACACCATCCCATGTAGCAATTTTTATTCATGTTCATAGCTAGGTTGTCTACGATCTTATGTCATCTAATAATTAGTTGTTGATAGTTTATGAAACATGGCTCTGAGTTTATTGGCATGATTGGTTCGAACCATGTCCACGTAACAAACCAAGCTATGATCTGAGCTTTGCTCAAAAAACCAAAAAAAAAAAAACACACACACACACTACGGGTGGTGCTACCGCTACTCAACCCAAATGTAATGCAATCCCAACATAATATAAGAGAGATTCTTCAACAGGATTGGATAATTTGCAAAGAAAAAAAAATTGTATTGAAGAAATTGAACATTACAGGGTTTTCAATACAAAATAAGCATAACATAAACAAAGGTTACAAATGATACAAACAAGATACACAAGGTATATCAATCCAAATTCACGGGGTATACCAACAAACGGATTACAACTCACAACTTTCTTGAAATCAGAGATAACTTACAAAATGGCAGCAACACAAAATGCCTCCATGGCAGCAACACAAAATGCCTTATTATGAGTTGGAGCTATCTAGCCTTTCCCATTCAGCAGCCACAGGGCAAGCACTGGCTGGATAATTAAACAATTCATTGGGTGGGTTTTCCTCTCACTCCTAATCTGAGCCAGAGGAATTATGAAATGGTGTTTAAAATTAAGCATTTGACATAAAACAATCAATAAGGATCCATGAGTTCAATTGGTTGGCATGTTCCGGGTTTTCCGTTTTCCAACCAAACAAGAGAAGCTTTCTGAACCCTTTTGTAGCTTCTGGAGAATTTTCATCACTATTCCATTTCTTCTAGGAGTGGATTGGTTCAGGGGCCATTTTATCATTTGGGGGTGGTGTTGACATTTCTACAACAGAAACTTCAGGCGAGACAGAAAAATTTTCATTTCCCTCACCATCCTCATCAATGTGCAAGGCAGTGGAGTACAAAGCTTTTGAAGGTGATGGTGGTAATCGATGTATAGTCATCTCAGGGACAAATTGAACATAGCCATTAGAGACTGTCATGTCTTCAAGAATTGGAGAGGCTTTTGATGTTACCTCATTATCACCTTTCAAGTTATCCAGTTGTGCAGCGTGATCTTGAACAGGAATGGAAAAGTCTCCATTAGGTGAATTCCTACTAGAGCTCGTATCATCCAAAGTGTCTCTTTCCAGAACCCTATTTACTTCATCCTTCTCAGTTGAAGATATGCTATGCAACTCCTTGATGTTTTCCGAGTCATCAATTGCATCAGAGGGTTTAGTTGCTCGTCCAGTGCTCAACTCTGCTGGAAATGCTATTGTGCATCTGCACTATCCTTCTTCTTTTGGGTGCCAGAGTCAGAAGAAAGTAACCCATTTGAATTCTTAGGGCCATTTGTTTTATCTGAAGAGTTGACCCTATTAGTACCTGGTTTCTTGTTCTCAGTTCCAGATGACTTTGAGATTGCTTTTCTAGGTTGGCTGGATTTTGCTTCAGTTGATGACAGCTTGGGAGTGTTAGGATCAAACACACCCAGAAAAATATCTCACACACACACAGAGAACACAATATTTACGTGGTTCGGCCCAATGCCTACATCCACGGACAGAAATGAGAATTTTCACTAAAATGGAGCAAAATACAAAATACAGAGGAGGAGATGAAACTCACTCAACTCACAACTCTTACTCTCTAATTTCTGATGATTCAAACCTCTCCTCACTCATCTCAATTTATAACCAAGAGAGGAGGAGTAGGTGAAGTGCTAGCCATAATTGGCCAAGGTAGTGCCACCCTCACTATCTTCCTTTAGTGAGTTGGTGTAGCCCTCCACCACCTTCTTTTACAACATGGTGCTACCTACACTATGTGAATGGTGGGCTCATTACCATGTGGGTAGTGGATGGAGCCAACAATTCTCCCCCTCCACGCCTACATGGACAACTGACTTCTCAGCTTGGACTGCCAAGACACAACTCCCCCTGATTGGATGCCCTGTACCCCCTGCTCGGGATACCCTTGCATTACCGTGCAACTCCTTTCATGATGAACACGGGAGCAACTAGAAAACTTCAGAGTGTGACACATCAACATCCTCAATTTTCCTTGCTCGGAGCTTATTTCTGAACAACCAGCCTTTGCTTTCTGCACTTTAGAACAACTTCCCAGCGATCTCATATGCCCGTTGTCTGTGCTGCAATCCTTGATGTTCGGTTCAGTCTCACTTGTACGTCCGTACTGATGTTTGACAGTTAGCCCTTCTTCCAAGACAACTTCCATCGGTCTATACAAGTTATCACTATGCAACTCCGTGCATAGTGCTCGCACCCCCTTATTGGAGTGCATTGCAACGCTCACTTTGCGACTCGAGATTGCATCCCTCCTTTCCATGCATCTTTTGAGAGGTTGCAAAATGTCTCTAACACGGAAGCAAAAGAAACTCTCTTCTTCACTGGCATAGTCTCTACAGACTTGGTTTCTTTGCTCTGAACTTTCTTCAAGATTGGCTTCACTGGCTCAGCTCTGTGCACCTTTGAACTGCCTCCTTGCATTCTCGTGTACCGTTTTCGCCATTCCTGATGAAAGCCTTGCTCAATCATATGGTTTGGTTGCGTATGTTCTCTCTTTGTACCCTTCGACTGGCATTTGACAACACTCATCTTTGTCAAAACTTCTCCTTCCAGTCTGTACAATTTGTTGCACAATTTGCCTTGCAACAATTCTTTATCACCTCTGTGTACATGAAGAACCCCGCAACTAGATGAGAAACAATTTCCTTTTAGATCTAGCATACTCAGGGAGATTAGATTCCTCCGTACTCCTGGCACATGTCGGACCTCAGATAAAATTACTTTTCTTCCATCCTTAGTAAGGAATCGCACTGTCCCTATGCCGACAACTCTGTTCACTGTGTTGTTGGCCATCCGGATAATGCTACCGCTGACTCTTCGGTAAGTGGAAAAAAGCTTCCTATCCGCACATATGTGGAACGTACACCCTGAATCCAAAATCCAGTCGGGTGTTTCCAACTCTGACGAGATTGTAAGCATCACCTCTTCATCGTCAGAGGAATGCACTGCAACTGCTGTAGTTGAGGGACCTCCGTGTCCCTTAGCCTTCTCTTTGGCTTGTCTGTCCGCCTTTTCTCTGGGCAATCTCTTATTATGTGATCCTCTTGATCACAGTAAAAACACCTTCTCATGTTGTCCTGTTTGGACTGTGAACGCCCTCTCCTTTTACTTCTTCCTCTACCTCTGCCCCTTTCTCTATCTCCGCCTCTACTTTCTGTGACAAGGGCATGAGACTGCTCTCCTTTCATCTCTTTCTTCCTTGCCTCCTCGTTGAATAAGGCGTCTGTGACCATCCCCATGGTCAGCTTCCCTTCGGGTGCAAAATTACTGAGAGAAACCACCAACGTCTCCCAGCTGTCTGGTAAGGAACTGAGTAATAATAATGCTTGCATCTCACCCTCCAACTCCATTTTGATTGATGCAAGCTGGTTCACAAGGCTGTGGAATTCACTGGTGTGTTCAACAACAGACACACCATTCTTCAGCTAAGAATTTGTATACCAATAAAAATTAAAGAACAAGAACTAATTAATGTATAAAAAAATAAAAATGACAAAAACATAAATTTAAAAAAATAATAAAAAATTAAGCAAAATACGCCAAATCCAAACCTAAAATAAAAAAATAAAAAAAAACAAAATTAAGCAAAATATGCGAAATCCAAACCCAAAATAAAAAATAAAAAATAAAAAAAATTTAAGCAAAATATGCGAAAGCCAAAACAGATTGAATGGTTCAGATCGACAAAATCTGGTGCGGCTGAGAAGCACCAGATTATTTCTCCGGTTCGGCTGGCGTCGGGTTGACGTCAGCGGCTCAGTCAACGGCTCGGTCAGTGGCTTTGGCTTTGTCCCAGCTCGGCTTAACGGCTCGGCTTCGATCGGCTTGGTCAGCGGCTGGAAGGCTTGGTCAGCGGCTCAGATGGCTCCGGCTTGACGGCTTAGACGACGTCAGCTGCCGTTGATGTGACGTCAGCAAACGACGGCGAGATGACATCAGCGCCTGGAAAACGGAGAAGACGCGTGATTCGCGTGTAGCGCGTTGAAGCGCGTGGTCATGGCGTCAATGGGAGCGTGACGGCGCGTGTGGATTCATCTGGCCTCCTTTTTCGACATGGTTTTCACCTCTGTGATCCTCTCGTTGAGGGCTTCAAGCTGGTGTGATCAAAAGTGGATTTCAACCACTTTGATTTCTGGGCATTTCTGAAAAATACACTCTGTTTTTTCCGAAAGAGACTCAACCCGCTCTGATACCACTTTGTTAGGATCAAACACACTCAGAAAATTATCTCACACACACACAGAACACAATATTTACGTGGTTCGGCCCAATGCCTACATCCATAGAGCAGAAAAGAGAATTTCACTAAAATGGAGCAAAAATACAAATACAGAGGATGAGATGAAACTCACTCAACTCACAGCTCTCACTCTCAATTTCTGATGATTCAAACCTCTCCTCACTCATCTCAATTTATAACCAAGAGAGGAGGAGTAGGTGAAGTGCTAGCCATAATTGGCCAAGGTAGTGCCACCCTCACTATCTTCCTTTAGTGAGTTGGTGTAGCCCTCCACCACCTTCTTTTACAACATGGTGCTACCTACACTATGTGAATGGTGGGCTCATTACCATGTGGGTAGTGGATGGAGCCAACAGGGAGTCACCCTTGCAGCTGCAGGACGATCTATGGTGGAATTCCTAAGAATGGGCTTTTGTAATTTCTCCATCTCCTTTGGGGACTGAAGTTTTGGCTTCTCATTTTTCATGGAAACTAGTGATGTCTTATTCTCTTCTGAGGTCCTCTTAGATGTTGCTGAACCACAAGCAGCACTTCTTTCTACAATTCTCTTTTGACAATCAGTAATTCCTCCATTTTCTTTTACTTTCTTCATCCTATAGAAGAAATGAGCAA